GCAGCACCTGAGTACCTTGCAGTGTCTGGTCTTTTCTGAGTAATCTTAGGTACCTGGTAGCCATTGCTGTAACATTTATCCAATTGGCCTGGAAGGGTCAGCAATGACTGTACTGAGTATGAGAGTTCTTGTATCCTGCCTGAAGAGTAGTGCTAACCAGGGAATAAAGAGAACTTGAACACCTGAGAAGCAGGGAGACAATGAAACAGAGGTACTTTTTACTGATATTAAAAATAATGTGCATCTCATTTTGCATGGCTTATACAATGACAGTAATTCTTTTTTTTTTTTTTCCCTGAAGATCTGAGCATTAATTTTCTGGGAAGTAAAGGCATCCATAAGCCCCAAGGTTTTATGGTATTTTAGTACCACTTCAGGGTGCTTTTACAATACACAGTGTTACATAATCTTGTTTTATTTGCTTTAGTTCCATTACAAATGGATTATTATTAAATTCTGATGGTAATGAAGATATTAATTATTGATTAGTATATGGTATTACATTGGCCTACATGCATGGACTGTAAAGACAGACTTAATGATAATTCCAGAGCTATCCATGGCTTCAAAATGATTTATAAGGAATAGCCCATTAAGATTTGCATGATCAGTGAAATTAATACTGTCATAATATCCTAGATGTCTTGGAGTGAATTGATTCTGGGCATAAATCTGTTGGCTTTGAATGAGTTGCATCAAAGAGAAATATGCATTGCTATGGTCTATTCTAATGCCCATGTACCAATGGCCATGTACCAGTAAGATGTACATAGTTTCTTCTAATGTTCACTTAGTCCATGACAGAAAAAAACATTTGATACTTGATTAGTCCATTTTAAACTCCTCTCTCATCAAACTATTCAGTAGGGATAATAAAACTTACGGGTTTTCTTTCAGTGGGAAAGTCTCATTTATCACTGCTGTGGATAGTCACAATGACCTCATGCACAAACCATACCAAGAGTGTCTGAAGACAATCCTTTTAAAAGGGCAAAGACACTCAGACATCTACCTATAGCTGAAAAAAGAAGCACCACCAGTGACCAAACTTCTTCTATTATGTTAGTTTCTGTTTCAACAAGAAAACAAACACTTCTGGTGTTTAATATCTGCACTTTACATCACCCTTTTAGTTAATAACAATGGCATTCTGGAGAAATTGCCTGCATGTGGGAGTAAAGATTACTGTTGCTTTTACTTAAACTTGACTAAGATTTTGGTATCCTAGCATCACCAGAACCACCTATCCTGTGCATCTCAGTGTGACCCCTTTGTTCTTATGCCAACATTGTCCTTTAGCTTAAATAGCTTTGCTCTCCCTGATGTTTGTTCTTCTCTGATGTATTTTTAGACAACAGTGCTATTCCCTCCCAGTTTCCTTGCTGGAAAACCTTGCGCTTTTTGCCCTAAGTGGCACTGAGGATGATGTGAGGTGGTGCAAAGTGACTGTTTGCAGGCAGAACCTGCAGGAGGGTTTTTGTTGAGGCCAAGTTCCTCCTGGGACATAAAGAAGCACATGGTGTGTGTTAGGCAGAATATGGCCATTGTTCCTCGCCCAAGCACAGAGTTGCAAAGAACTGCTGCAGGGATTTACATCTGATCTCCTAGTGGTTTTTGGACAGCTAGAAATTTACTGTTCCATTCACTGTGTACTTGGGGACTTAAAGTTGATCTATGAAGCATGGTACAGTGAAAGAGGATACAATGTGAAAAAACATGTTCTGTTTTTCTGACACTTGTTCACATATGCATCTCTTTTTCAGTGCTTGGTAAGCTTTGTCTCTCTCTTTTTTTTTGAAAGCTTCCCTGAGAATCAGACTCTTTTCCACAGAGAACTGGACAGAGAAAAATCCCAATAAAATGAACTGTGAATTTCAGTGGTCTGATTGACTGGATTTGAGACTTGCATCTTCTAAACTTGTGTCCTGGCATAGCTCTTTTAATACATATAACACAAACTGTACATCAAGGAAATGAGAAAAATTATCTGCACAAAGGAGGCTTTTCCCTCTGAATAATAAGCAGTAATTATTTTTAAATGACAAACTAATATAAATTATTACTAAATAGCCTAAACTATTTGCTTGGCACTGCAAGTTTAACCAAAATGGACAATTTTTGAAAGTGCTTGCAGAGCAGCGCCAGCCTTGAAAGGTTTTTATTACTAAGATTATGACTGGAATATTTTCCACAATTCCTACCCTCAGTTTTAGTACCTTAATACTTAGCAACTACCACTAACATTTTCAACTATTGCCCTGCTCACTGTCAGACCGTGGTGCCAGATATGGCTTCTGACAGTCCCTTCCTGTAAAGAAACCACACAGGGGAGAAAGTGAAAGGGGAAGAAGCCTGCAATGTAGATATATTGCCAGCATAGAGTTATACCCAGACATTCCTGCAGCTGTCCCACAAAACTAACCTACCCTTAGGGAGCTGCTGGAGTTGGGGAGTCAATAGGGTGCATCTCTGTGCCGACTACAGGTTCTTGGCACCACATGGTGCTCTGCATAGAGGTGGACAAACACCATTCTGTTCTTGTCCCAGAGTGCAGGGTTATACATCTGTCTTTGTGGGTTAAAACCAGTTTTCTCTGTATCATTGCATTTATTGTAGTCTTTTTTTAGAAAATTGTAACTCTGACAAGAACCCTCTCTTGAGTTGGGTTAATTTCTTCTGCCAGTTTACTTTTAAACCAGCACAGTTACACAGCAGTGTCCTAAAATGTGCCTTTTTCTGAAATAGAAATTATTTAAATACTTTCAAAGACACGATCCACTCTAGAAGCTTGGGATTTGCTTTCTTGCCAATGGAATTCCTCAGTTTGAATTTAAATGAAGATTTACTTGCTATTACATAAAGAACCTGCTGCTCTCCATTCCTGTCTGGCCCCTGTGGACAATGGGCAGTCATGGGAGAAGATGACATGTGAGTGCTGTGGTGGCGTTTGCAGCCAAACAATTGTTCCCTGGCTCCCAAGAGCGTATATTATATTTTTGTGGATTTGTGCTATCAAGCTCTTTTCCTAGACACATTTTGGTTGTGTGTTTGTTGTTCCACTGATTGTCTGTGGGAACCACAACTCCATGAAGAAAAACAATTTCTCTGTAGAGTCCTGTGCTTATATAGCTGTTTCTTCCACATTAAAAGTCCCGCTTAGCAAAATACTTCTACATTTGCAGAACGAACTTAGTTTTCTTCACACTCCCATTGATTAAGTGTTATGCAAGGTAAATTGTCTTCAGAAACCTGTACAACATCTCAGTCTTCATATTATGCCCAACTGGCACATTTTTGGTCACATTACTTTCATTAGAATTGCACATTCACTGAAACACGATAAACAATTCTGCCATGCTAAAAAGTAAAATTCAGCTTTTTCACAGCTGTATTTGCTTCACAGAGGGGGCAAATGTTGCTGAGTAAAACAACAGCACATGTAGGTAGTCAGTTTTTAGAGGAGAGCCTCATGAATTGTAGTTGCAGACCTAGACATTGAATTACCACTAGAAATGAGCTGGGAAGGAAGTATATGTGCATTCATGAGATAGTAATATTTTTTCTCTGAGAATCAGGAAGGTGAATTTTTCATTGAATTCTTCTAGTTTTAAATACATTCAATGATACCATTATCATCCTTAGGGAACTAAGCAATGTAGGTGTTTCTGTGCACAATTAAGTACTAGAGCAAAGGCTCACTACACAAATGCTTGACTTATTATTTTTAGTCTGCTTATTTTGTTGTGCAGTCCTATCCATTAGGATTTTTAGGGAGACTTATATTTTACAGATTCCTCTTTTAGAATTTTAATTTCATTCACTTATTTGAAAGATTGTCTAGAGACTCTGAGAAATGAGCAATGCAAATGTTTGCTATTGACAATTGTGTTTTGATATTCAATGATTTCTTAAACAGTCCAGCATGTTTGTGTTATGTTTCCATGCTCATGAAGAGAATAAACCCTCAGCCTTCTTTCTTTCTCTCCAAGGCTTAATATAGGCTGCTGAGATTGCTGTGCCACCTCTGAGTAAAAAGAAAAGGCAGAGACTTGCAGGAGCTGATGTCACATGCTGAGGTCTACAGCAAGGGGAAAACCACTCTCCCTGGATGTTAATTATGTACAAAGAAGGCAACAAAGCATGTATTCTATACGGGAGCTTGAATGCTGAGACTGAAATATCTGTGATCGTGGTGCATCCACCCACCTTTACTTTAAGTAAGGCAACTTCGGTACCAGTAACATTTTGGCTGAGGCAGAAGGGATCTCAGCACAGGGCAGCACAGTGTACTTAGGTGCTCAGTCAAGCCTGTGTTATCTTCTGTGAACACAGGACAGTCACCAGCTTGAAGTTAGACTGGTAAGTCTATTCCATACTGAAGGCATAAATGAGCAGTATGAACATTTGCTACCTCAAAATCTTTTCCTTGGTTGATTCCTAATGTATGAGGTAGTTTATGCTTCTTACACAGGGCAGATATAATCATAAGCAAGCCAAAATATCTGAAGAATTCATGTGTAAAATATCTTAATGAGTAGAGAAAGTTATTTATTCTTCCTTATCAAACTTAAAATAAAAGCAATAAAAGTTAAACATTTTAGGAGTCCAAAACAATACTTTTTATCCAATCATTTGCCAGGCCTGTGAATCCAAATAAAACCTTTCTCAAGGTACTTTAACAGATTTTTCCATTTCCTAACTGGGATTGACCAAACCTTAATTTGCAAAGTTGTGATTTTTTTTAATAAATATTTTCTACTTTTGAATTTGGCAACCAAATAAGATTTATCTAATTTCTGTAATTTCTGAGAATTTCATTGTTATCAGTATTCACCCTTCCTTGGGAGGAAAAAGAATATACATGCACTGAACTATAACCCATTATACAGCTTATTCAAGCTGTTACTTACATACCATACTGCAAAGTATCTGAAAACAAAATTATGTATTTCAGCAAACTGTCTATTTATCAGACATTTCTATTAACTGCAAATGTGTAGTGAGAAGGTACAGTAGTGGTTTAATATATCATAAAGACAGACAATGTATGAAAGTACATGTTAATCTACATTTTTAGGAATTACAAATAAAACAACTATGTGCACAGTACTTTAAAATGCAGTGAACTTCTCTTCTAGTTGCATTGACAATACCAGTTCCTTACACAGTTGAATCTGGTTAAAAGCTCTATTCCCAGTGTAATAAATGTAACATCACAGGTACAATATTGACAGTAGAGGTTAAGGCTCTGTTCCGATGATTGTTTATTTCTCTGTGCATACCTCCCTTCCATTCTCCTCTTATCCCAGTCTTTTCCCCCCCAACACACCCAATTGTTTTTATACAGAATGAAAAGCTCATTGTCTCCAGAGTATTCAGGAAGAAAAATTTAAGATAAAAGAATTTAATCCAAATTTAATGAAATGTGTAAAGAAATGTTGATTCATAGTAATAGCAATACCTGGCACTTATCATTTTTTTCTTTTTTAATTAATTTAGGTATGTCAGAAGAAACCAGCATTCACATCTCATGATGCTAAACACTCCACAACAGGTAGCACACAGAGGATAGATTCCAGACTGAAAATCATAGTCTGATCAGGTCTCAGCAGTCTTTGTGAATTTGAGGAAGAACAATCATCTCTATATTTAAATTACAGAAGGTGAGGCACAGAAAATGTAAATGCCTTTCTCAGAGACACACGATGAACCAATGGTAGACTTTGGGTCTGTTGACTCCCCAGCCACTGATTTATATCTTGGCCCATTCTGTCCTCTTAAACAATGTAGAGAAGATCTGAGATACACGACATGGGCCTAGTATCATAAGGGAATCAGTGTCAAACGCACACAGCCTGATTCTGCACTACCTTTTGGCATCTATAGTCATGTTTACTTTGTAAAGAGGGCCTAAAATGCCCTCAAATCAAAGTTGATTTGGTGTCAATTACTAATATATGCACTTTAATAGAGAATCAGGCTTGCAGTAATCACTGTGGCACATTGAGACTAGAATTAACTAACTGATTTAATTGCTAATGAATTAAGGCTGATTCCTTATATTAAGGCCTCTGTATCATTCCATGACAGTGTAACTGTGCCTCAGTGCAAGACTCAGGCTATAGAAAAACTTAACCTTTCAGTTGTCTTCAAAGTCAATAATTTTAGTAGCCCTAAATGTATAAAGTAACTGGAACCAAACAACCTGTCTCTATGCTATGGAATATTAAATAAATTATTGTAAAAGAACCTAAAAGTAACTCGAGGAAAACCCAATTATATGTTTGTTGAAAACAAAAACTAGATTAGATAGACTTGTTGTCTGAACTTGAAAATGGAGTACTGTACATGATAACACACCTTTATATGAAGAAAACTGTCTTGATATTCAGTGGTTATGATTATGCCCAGATAAACTGTAGATGCTTATCAACTCTGAAGATCGAGTTATCTTTTATACTACTACAATAAAATAGAAATAGATTTATTTGGTATTTAAGTGCTAGACCTAGTTTGCATAAAGCTAGTGTGTGTTATATTCAGAGGAGTAGGAAGATGACCTCAAGCTCAGTAAATGCTACATGTTCACAGATTTCTCCTATTATTCTTGTTATTAAAAGCTATTATGGGTAGCTTTCTTAGAATAGGGGTTCTCTAACTTTGCTCTCTGTACCCAAACATTATTTTAGAAATTCTTTCCTCTATGAATGCTCTACTCATAACAGTTTTAGTTTAAAACCTTCCTATTTTAGACAATGGTGTAACATTTGCTGGCTAAGAATAAAACAGTCCTTGCTCTATTCAAATTTAAGGCCTGGGTCCCCATGGGTTGCAGCACTTTTTAACTTATTTTTACTTCTAGTTAGAAGTAAATTCATTTTTTAAAGCTAATATGGAATTTGTTTGTGTAAATTAGCCTAATTCCTTAGGCATCAGTGTGACTATGATAATTACCCAGCTGAGAATCTGGTCACCGAAATGTATGTCCAGTGGTTGGGAAATCTGTTTTGTATATAAGCCAAATAACAGCCGGATCATATGTTTAGTTTCATTGGCAATTCAGAAAATATTTAATAATAAATTCCATTGTTTCTATTCCCCATTTTTGTATACAAATAAATAATCTTTTCTAAAACATTCTTTTTCTTTAGTAAGGCTTGTATTCATAGTCATATCAAAAGTGTTTGCTATTGGAGCAATCTTTCAGTTTGCTTTCTTTAGAGTTATCTTTCTTATCAAATTCTACAGCATTCTAAACTTTAATAGTCATTAGCAACCCTGCACTTGAGTAAAGAATCACATTAAAAAAGTGTAATACTTGCTTGTCCAAAGCTAAGGCAGGACGAACAAAAGTAATGAGGTCATCTGATCCTCACCTATCAAGCCTTGAATTTTAAACAGTATTCAAAATACAAAGCCCAAGCGAGGATGTTGTCATGATGATTATTGCGCTTTCTCAGTGTCTTGCCATAGTCTTCCCTTTAGCAATATATAATTTCTTTTTCTGAAGACCACATAAAGTTATTGAACTCTGTAAAGAAAAAAAGCACTTAAAGTTTTATGAATTATGACCTAGACAGAAGGATACAAAACCAAATTACTGTTCTATGATTCAGCTATATCATGATCTAATACTGTTTCAAAACCATTATTCTGTTATTTAGGTTGGCATCATCTTCTGAACACCCCATGGGCTCTTTGGCATGCTACAAATTCAGCAGATGCACTGTCTTCTGGGCTTTACAGCTTCTTCTGACGAATGGACAACATTTGGAACAAAGCCACTCTTGACACCTTCCCATCCATCTTGTATTGAGATTTCTCCATTTTTTACAAGTTCATAGATGTCTCGTGTAAGAATTGTAAAGGACTCTTCAACATTTGTGGCATCTTTTGCTGAAGTTTCTATATATTTCATACCACAGTCAGATGACAGCTTTTCAGCTTCTTCTCTTGTAACCTCACGCTGTGACACTAAGTCACATTTGTGCCCTACTAATAGGAACACAATCTGAAAGGGCTGCACGTGCATTTTTGCTTCTTCTAGCCAGTCTTTCACATGTTCAAAAGATCGTCGATTTGTGAGGTCGAACACTAGTAAGCCACCCACAGAATTGCGATAGTAAGAGCGTGTTATTGATCTATGAAGGGGAAAAAAAAAGGAAAATTAAAATGCATTTTCATTTTATTCATAAATAGATGACTTTTCCATATGGCAATGTGTTTTTATCTTTTATATGTTTTATTAAATAACTTTGCTTTTTTAAAGCTAATTATAATTAATTAATTTATCTATTAGACACAAAAATATTGGTTTTTTTCTTACATTCGAAAGTCACTTTCTAAACATTTCTGAAGGGTTGACAGTGAAAGGCTCTTCATGCAACTTATAGGTCTCCTTGGGAAAAATGTTATGAATGCAGAGTTTATCTATAATCCATGGAAAACTGAGTAAGTCCTGAACAAGAGACTGAGTGAGCTTTAGTAAACAGATAAAGAGCATTAACCTTTGGAAGTCCCCCAGGTTGACAGTAGAGGATAGCAGAGTACTCAGGAGAATTCAAAGACTCTCTCAGAAACAAGACATCTGAGTATGGACCATAGACAAAATCAGATGGGCCTTTCTTATGTTCTTTCATGACAGGGAATCTACTTAGGTGATTATACATGCTTTGGTAAGTGCTGCAAGATCAGACTCTAAAAGCAAAATTAAGTTTTTAACTCCCTTATTTTTGTCACTTTTTGAACAGAAAGAAAAAAACTCTTGGGTAGCATGTCAGGTTTGATGTAGTCTCACTTATTCATAAGGGATGTTTAAATTTCCATTTCTCAAATTATCTCTATGCAGATCTTAAATTCTTGTTGAAATTATGGCTTCTTGTGTAAACTTTGGTTCAGCTCATTAATGTCATTAAACATGAATGATTCTATGCTGGCAAAAGTCAGAATTTTCAAGAAGGAAAAGAAGAATGACCCTGGAAATTACAGGACTGTCAGTCTCAATTCAGTGCCTGGTAAAATGATAGAGAAAATTCTTCTGTGAGTTACTGAAAAGCACCTGAAGGACTATGCAGTCATCAAGAAAGTCCTGCTTGTCAAACCTAATTTCCTTTTCCAACAAGGTAGCCCACCCAGTTGATCAAGGGAAACCAAGTTGATATAATCTTTTTGGATTTCAGTAAAGCTTTCCATACTGTCTCTCCCAGTATCCTTCTGGACAAAATGTCGAGCACACAGCTGGATAAACATGTCATGTGATGAGTGAGCAACTGGCTCATGGGACAGGCACAAAGGGTAATAGTGAATGGGCTGACACCAGGCTGGTGGTCTGTCACCAGTGGGGTTGCACAGGGCTCCATCTTATGGCCAGTGCTCTTCAACATCTTCATAAGCGACTTGGACATAGGACTTGAAGGTACACTGAGTAAGTTTGCTGATGATACTAAATTAGGAGGAGCTGTTGACTCCCTTGAAGGCAGGGAGGCCCTGAGGAGAGATCTCAACAAATTAGAGGACTGGGCAATCACCAATGAAGTTTAACAAGGGCAAGTGCCAGATTCTGTACCTGGGATGGGGCAACCCTGGATGTTTGTACAGACTGGGGAATGAAATCTTGTAAAGCAGTGCCAGGGAAAGGGGCCTGGGGGTCCTGGTCGATGGCAAGTTGAATATAAGTGAGCAGCCATAAGGGCCAACTGTGTCCTGGGGGCATCAGGCACAGCATCGCCAGCCAGTTGAGGGAGGGGATTGTCCCACTCTGCTCTGCACTGGTGCAGCCTCACCTTGAATATTGTGTGCAGTTTTGGGCACTATAACACAAGAAGGATGTAAAACTATTAGAGGAGGGCTACAAAGACGGTGAAGAGTCTTGAGGAGAAGCCATACAAGGAGCGGCTGAGGTTACTTGGTTTGTTCATCCTGGAGAAGGGGAGACTAAGGGTAGACCTCATCTACAGCTTCCTCATGAGGGGAATTGAAGGGGCGGGTGCTGATCTCTTTACTCTGGTGATCAGTGACAGAAACTGAGGGAATGGCATAAAGCTGAGTCAGGGGAGGTTTAGGGTAGATATTAGGAAAAGATTCTTCATCCAGAGGGTGGTTGGGCACTGGAACAGGCTCCCCAGGGAAGTGGTCATGGCGCCAAGCCTGACAGAGTTCAAGAAGAATTTGGACAATGCTCACATGGTGTGATTCTTAGAGATGCCCTGTGCAGGGCCAAGTGTTGGACTCAATGATCCTTGTGGGTCCCTCCCAATTCAGAGTATTCTACAATTCTTTGTATTAATTACATCAGACTGTGGCTTTAGGGAGACTTTAAATCAGTCACAGTGTTTCTTTTTCGTTATAATCTTACTGATCTTTACCAGATGAACCAAACTTTCACTGAAATCTTTATCTAATTTGAAGAGTTATTTTTATACTATGACTAAAGACTTTATTGTAATGATATTAATTTTGAAAATACATACTGCTTACTGAAAAAGAATAAGCATAGTGGTTTATTTTCAAGCCATGTGTTAGAAGCAGAATGTATCTAATATTATGGTCTAGTAAAAAGTGGGTTAATATAATGGAAGCATCTCCACAGTATCTTGCCCCTACTGAAATGAACTCTCACTTTTAGCACCACTACCAAGCACTTTATAGCACTGGAGGTTTCATCTTTTAAATGTATTGTTGGATTTAAATACAGGAAAAGTAAACAATCAAACAAACAAAAATCACATCAAAGTACATGATGCAAAACACAGCCAAACCAGCATATTGCTCTAAATGACTAATCTGAAGATAGAAAGAAATTGAGGGTGCACCCCTCATTTATGTTAGTCTGCATTACAGACCGGAGCTTATACTCATTCTAGTAAGGTGTTAAAGTTACTGATTATGTTGTTGTTGTCCATGTGGCACCTCACACAATGGGAGATTCTGCTTAGCGATGCCTTACTGATGTCAAAGTAAATATAGTCAGTAACCGCCCTACCTGAGCCCCAAACAAGTGAACAGTCTTCCACTACTGTTTGCAGTGGAAATGGTGAGAATTGCTTTATTTGAGAAGTAATGCAAACAGTGCATATTAAAGATGATTTCTAAAACCATGCATGAAATCCAGTTCAAATACAGAATCATCAATGCACTAGATACATGTAAGAATTCTTCTCAAACAATTCCTCCAAGAAAGTACATGATCTCTTTCAAGAGAGTGTGACAGCAGGTGTGTCACGTCTTACTTTTCCCCTGGGAATGTCCCTTATGCCTGGGACCAAAATTAGGGGGTTATTATGCAGCCAGTAGTTTTCTGTGCACATGCAGGGAACTCCCCTGGTAGCTTTAAAGACAGGTTTTACCTCCTCTGAAACTCCAGTGCAAGGGAGCCAGAGCAGAATTGGGAATCAAAACTGCAAACTGATTGGTGTTCCCCAGAAGCAGATAACTTCTTGGAATAATTAGTTTTTCCCCAAGATAATCTTTGCTTGTGATCTGTAGTGTTCTCCATTATCAGAGAACAGAATGTGCAACATTTTAACCTGTGGTGTATAACTTAGTAAAATATTTAGAATTGCTTTGAGTAAATGTAAAGCAGACTATACAATAAATGCTGTCATATTTGGTACACCAACTGACAAGAAACTCCTAGCACAAAACCAAACACAAGTATTTACAACTACTTCCGTTTGTATTTATGGGTATTAGAAAAAACACAGAGGTATACTAATGGTAAATTTAAAAGCAACTGACTGCATGACTCATCAGTGCACATTCCCTGAGCATTCCAGGGTTAAAGGATGGCCATCATTTGATTTTAAATGTATGCAAAATTCTCTGCATTTGCATTTCTTTCAGTTGAGTGTCTCGTCATTGTCCATCCTGGCTATTTGTCAACAAATTCAAAATAAAGAGATTGTACATCCTTAGTCACTTATTTACAAGTACTTTACAAGCTGACTGGAAAGCACAAGGAGAGTGAAAAATGCTAAGAGCTTGCTATTATTCCTGCTAATTTCTTTGCTAATCCTTCAGTAGCCTGCCCGCAAGAATGTATATGAAGTTCTGAATCATGTAAGCCCAAGAAAGTTGTTTGTTGTTTCACTGTAATGCTTGTTATGGAAAAAAAAGAAGTTGGTGTTCCCCGGTAAGACAGTGCAATCCCACCTCTTCAGCTGGGTGTGGGAATCTGCACAACTGTTGCGATGGAAGACAGGGAACATAAGAATTGATTCTGGCCAGCTAAGAGGCCCATTTCAGCCCTCCTGCTAGCATCCTAGTAACAACAAGTGTGTGGGTTAGGTACACGTAGATGGGCTGTGCATTTGCCCCCACCACGAGTTCATATCTGTTGAACCTCAAGTCCAAATTAAAATCCATACGCAACTTGCCTGAACCTGCAATCATTACAGATACAACAGAGGCACAAGAGTGAGTCAGTTCATAAATTGGAGAATGACTGTGATTCTTTTTGGGGCAGGAAAAGAGGGTAGTTTTGCTACTTGTTTGTGACAGAGGGGAGAGAGGATTTAATACTCAGTGCAGCATTTGAGCTACTTTAGCTACAGTATAAATGGTAGAGGTACTATTGAAGGCTCTTGGCAACCATCAGTGCAGAGCAGATGCAGAAGGCAGATAAAACACTACTAAGGGACTGTAGCTGGCTGCCCCATAGCTTCCACACTGCCATGGCTGCACGGGTGCTCATGGTGTTGCTGTGCTGGAAGGAGGAAGAGCTGGGAGGTGGCCTGGTCTCTCCAGATTGCATGTGAAGGAGAGGTAATGGCAGAGGGAAATACTGCAGGGGAGAACGAGTTCGGAGGTGATGACAAAGTAAGAAATGCGGAGTTAAGCAGGGGCCTCTTGCTGCAAAGAAGGAAAAAAAAACGTGGAGGAGGGATTGCTACATTAGGTCCAGGACTTCAGGGGAAAGATGAGCGAGGGAAGAAGAAACAGGAGGAGGCCACTTGTTACCCACTAGTGTGAGCTGGGAGGGGAAGGGCAGCTGTTCCCTGATGTGTGTGAAGGGAAACGGCAGGGGAGGAAGAAGCTCCTGGGAAGGAACTGGTGGGCAGTAGGGCAAGTGGGATGGTGGGCCACGGGGCTGGGACCACTGGCAGGGGTAGAGGACTGTTTGGGGCACAGCAACCAGATTGGTGCAGGGAGATGTGTTCGGGGACAAGGCAAAGCCCTTGGGGCTGGAGATGCGTCGGACGATGAGGGAGGGTATGAGGGTATGCTCGGGGGCCGGCAGGTTTGGGGAGCAGGTGGGAGGGGGCCGGGTCCTGTACCTGAACCGCTCCTGCCCCGCCGTGTCCCAGAGCTGCAGCTTGACCCTCTTGCCAGGCTCGATCTCCACCAGCCGGGAGAAGAAGTCCACCCCCACGGTGGGATCGGAGTGCAGCGGCCCCGGGAAGCGGCCCTCGGTGAAGCGGTGCAGGAGGCAGGACTTGCCCACGGTGGAGTCGCCCAGCACGATCAGCCGGAACTGGTAGATCCAGATCGCCGCGTCCATGGCGGCCCCGGCCTGGCCCGGCTCCGCCTTGGGGCTCTTCCTGGGGCTCCTGCGCGGCCGGTGCCTGCACCGCGCCCCGATCGCCCCCACGCCCGGCATCGGCGCGGCGGGCGGGCGGCGGCGGGG